TGGTGAAAAAAAAAAAAAAAAAAAAAAAAAGAAAGGGTGAGAAGAGGGAGATCCTCGTTGAAGCGGATCATGCGGATGATCGTCCGGCTGACCTGATCCTTCTCGTATCTTGTTCATTCACACAGCTGTGACCGCGTTATGCAGTGATATCCTCCCTTAAGGGAACCTCGTGATTGTGAAAGAGAAGAATCATGTCGAAGAGTGGTGAGTCGTCAGCAGGTACCACGAAGAATCCAGAGCACGAGAGCGGTTACTTCGAGGATGGAAGTGACGTGGAAACGATCGTTGAGGAGCCGATTATCATTGAAGAAAGGAACTACGGATCGACCTGTTACAGATTATCTAAGGACATCGACGACTTCGACATGAGGGACTTCAACGAGCCAGTTCCTGATTACGACGAGGACAGAGGTACGACGAGATATTTTCTTCGAAAGTGTATAAAGGGGTGTTGTTTAATTGGTGATATTAACTCGATAAAGGATGGATGTGTATACATAAAAGAATAAATCTAGAGTTTCGTTGTTTTATTGGAAGTTTCATGAAGAATTTAAATGCTAATCTTGATATATTTTTGTATCTTTTAATTAATATTCGATGAACAGAATTTAAAAATTAATTTAAAAGAGTATCAAGTTTTTTTTTGAGAATAATATTTTTTGTTGTAAATTTTAATTTTTTTTATTTATTATTTTATTTTTATTTATTTATTTATTTATTTAAATATAGATATAGATTCATCCTTTTTTTGAGTTATAGCATTAGTGATTCAGTTAGTAATACTTTGTGTCAATGAAATGTGTAATGGTTTGTTGGGTGAGTACCATTCACTGAATGGAACAGAGTAGCTAGTAGATTGACTTGTTTGGTTATATAGCTTTGGAAATGAAGTTTCTGAAGGGTTTGTGTTGACAGCTGATTTTGCCCCTTTGTATGATTTTGTTAAATAAATAATTCGATATGTTGAGCATATGTTGAGAGTATGTTGAGAGCATATTAAGTTTATTGAGTGCATGGTAAACGAAAGTATGATTTAAGTATGATAAACATATTCATTAGAATATATCAAGTACATTGAATGCTCTAATGGTGTGAACTGAGTCCATTAAACAAATTGAATAACAAATTACATCAATCACTTTGAATATTTTTCAAATTAACAATATTAGATACAGATCAATCAATTATAAATATCAATTTCAATATTTTATTGGCCAAGAAATTTTTCTCATAAATTTTCATTTTTCTTTTCGAATCTTTTTTACATTGAATTAATATATTCTTACTGTCTCAAACGTATGATCACGGAAGAAATAACACTTCTCAAGAACTTCTCGTCTATTCTTGTGCAGGAACGGTAGCAAAACAATCATTCGTCTGTGCTATTCTTATCATCACGAGCCCTATTAACAAACGATCTCCAAAATTATCCGCGAACAAGTCCCCCAAAATTGTCCAATGAATCGTACATATAACTTGACTATAATTCGAATGCGCGAAAACAATTTCATTGAAAAGCTTGTTTGCAACCAGGGGACAGCTCTCCCTTATTTTGGTAACGCGCAATGATTCTAGTGAATAAATCTAGCGAATGACGTCTGGAATGAGACACACTCAATTAGTTACTAGATCGATATAATTGGTGAAATTCATTATTCATACGATTATAAAATTTATCACAATGAGATATAACAATTTTTTCTTTTTTTAATATTATTACATTCATATTTCACGATTAAATCTTTTAAATTCATTTTCTTTTTTTTTTCAATTGTTTATATTAGAAATTTTTTAATTCATATAAAAAATATTATTACATTTTATTTTTAAAAGTATCATATAATATATTAATATAATATATTTCAATTTTAAAGCTAAAACAGGTTAAAAGAAATTTATTTTACATACATCATATAAATTTTAAAAATACGTAACTTACTTTTTTTTTTATATAAATATAAATATATTATACAGGAATTTTAATGTCAATTCCTAAGATTCGTGTTTCTATAAATTAATATTTCTGATTATAAAAATTTATTAATCTGTCTTTATATATATATATATATATATATTTTTTTTTTGCTAACTATACGAGTATCTTGTTGGACATTGCTTCGTTCCAAAGATTGCGTCGCATTTTCATAGACATTGTAGTATCTCGTGAGTCACGCCATAAGAGTGTGTAACGTCACGTTTAACCCTCTTTCAGGGTATCGGGATCCAGAAAGTAAAACGTTCACGTGTGGGCTCGTAAACTTTTATGGCTTTAAGATGTTTCTTAAACTTAAAGAGGATTATCAATAATTCTCGATGATTTAGAAATTATTTTCGGATGTAAAATGAAATTTTTTATTAGAGAAAATTTGTTTCAATTATTGCAAGTTTCGTCTCATGTTTCATTTCGTAGTTCCAATCAAAATGGATTGGTTGTAAAAATTTTCTTTTACTAGTTAAGCAACTTTCGATCGCCAATTTTCACGTATTTTCGATTCAATTTTATAAATTCGAAAGCCACTGTGATAATGACCATTCCAGTCGATTATTTCGTTTTATTATCCTTCTTTTTTTTCTTTCCATTTTCAATAGAGATGAAAGAAATTGCACGATTTGATCGTATGCCAAACGCTTCTATTATTGCAAACGTTCAAAGACACACCGCACGTGGCAACCTTGTTGCGCAATCCTCGTCCAAAGTGCCATCACAGTTTTGATATCGGTTGCAACAAAGTATTCTTAAAGTCGTAGATATTTGACAGGCCAACAAGAATCATTGCTTTCGTTGTTCCATTGTTATTATTTATTCGTGCTCCCCCTCTTCGTCAATTTAAATTTCTTTCGACTGGTTGGAAATTTTATTTTATTTTATTTTTTTTTTCCAATTGAAATAACAATTTACAAAAAAGCAGAAAATATTTCTCTTCTCTCCAGTTAAAGTGAAGAGAAGTCGATACACAAGCTTTTATTTTCCTTCTTCTTTAACTTCTTCTTTACTTCCTCGCTATTTTACGGGTATTTTATCAGATACCAGTTTGTGTACAAAATTAGTAATTCCTTTTTTCCTTGTTGTAACAGACATTTATATTTATATTTTAATTATTGTTTTCTATACATTCCACTTTTTGTTACCTTAAACGTATCAACTTTGAATCATTATATTTTATAAAAAATACATTTTTACGTTAATTATCTATCCAAGTGATTATATATTTGATAAGCAGATAAAATAAAGTAATAATAATAAATAACGTAATAAAGTAATATACGCTAATAAATTATAATTACCTGTATAATTACATATCTCTTCTTATTGTAAAAAGTAAAAAAGAGAAAGTAAAAAGTTATATGGATGAAATGTTTCAAAAGTCGAAAGAAATCTTGCTACAATGTTTCAAACATCTCAGGCCATCCGAAAAATTCTTCGACACGTTAGAGACACCTCGGATTACCCCGAAAAAAAATATTCCCACCCAAAACCGGACCTAAAAAAAAAATGCATACTGTATAAGTATATGTTTCTCAAAGAGAATTCAATACTTCTAACGAGTATTTCATGAGAGACTCAACATACGTTTAACGTACGAAAATTTCGAAGTGTCGAGTATCTGGTTAAAAAAATAATACCACATTGCGATTATCTATCTTATCTGAACGACAAGCGTATAACTCATTTTTTTTGCTACGCTTTTTTTCTCGTTTTCCAATCGGATTTGATTTACAATTCGGGATAGATTTGAGTTTGTAGTAATCAAAATGATATCTTCAATATCTTAGTATTCTAGTATTTTAATCTAAGTAGATTAATTAAAATAGAAAGATAATGATGCATTTCTCATCTCTCTTGTAAGATATAGAATA